GTGCGTGCGTGCGTGCGTGCGTGCGTGCGTGCGTGCGCGCGCGTGCGTGCGTGTGTGCCACAGGCAGAAATTTAGACAGACAAGTCACAACAATGATCCGGAGAGCCAGTGATCCCAGGCACTTTCCAGGTGGTTCACTGCTCCACTTCAGTGCTTCTAAGGTTTGAGTCATTGTTCATGAAGTGGAAACGTTTTAAACAGCCTCATACAGTAGGAAAAGACACACAGCAGAATGTACGTGGTTATTAAATACACGTTCTAACAAACAGATGTTGACATAAAGTTTGTTAGGCAACTGGTATACATGACACTGACTATATAAACCCAAATCTGCCCTCACTACATCTGTATTCTGATCATTTAAAAATAGATCACCATCTTAGATCAACTGATTGTCTTTTATATTGCACTTTGTAGCTTTGTTAAGAAAAGTGGGGCATTAATAAAGCTTGTTGTTATTCCTTTCAATGAGATACATAAACAAGGATAAAGAATACAATGCAACACGTTTTCTATCTTAATTATTTATCATGAATCTGTGCCAAGCGGTCCTCAGTTTCTAATGTAACACAAAAAACAGGGTAAATTGCTTTTTTGGGTGTTAAACATACTGTGAGTTTTTCGTGTTATCTTACAATTATTGTGTGTACAGTCTCCTGATATAAAGTTAATTCACAAACATTAAAATTAGCTATTTCTGGAGACATGAGAACAGTGATAGCAGGCTGAAATGTTAATATGGAATCAATAAAATCCAATCTTGAGCATCTAAACTGATTTGTTTCAATGAGCTTAAAACTAAATTCAAACCTTTGGTTGACCCCTCAACAATGCAACATGGTAATGGAGTAGGCCTACAGTATTTACGGATTGATTTTACCAGCAAACATAGTCAGGTTTAGGACACCTGCATTTGTGATAACAGTATTGACCCTTTTCTCTTTGCAGAGTTAAAGACAAACACACCACAAAAGACCAGCAACAACCCTTTTGAACACTTTTTTTTTCATTCAATTTATTTTGTTAGTTAAATTTCTATAGCAGGTGAGGGAACATAACGGTCACGCAAGGGTTTTCTTGAGCATAGTTTTCAGAAGTCACAGTGTTTTAGACATGGACAAGAACATAAAAAAAATGACAATGAAAGGAAGGGCCGAGAGAAAACTTAGAAACAAGGTGTAACAGTGACACATTCCTACACACCTTCTCCTTCATGGTCCTCCAACCCTTCGCTCCACAAAAATAACAGAAAAAACAAAAGGCCTCTGCTCTAAAGTGTTGTCAACCCCTCCCTCCCATAATCTCCCCCAAATCAAAAAAAAATGCAAACAAAACAACAAAAACAAACTCGTCAACAAATAGATATATTTATATATAATATATATTTACTCTTTAAAAATATAACTTCAGTCTAGATACTAACATCTGTACAAACTACAAAAATAAATTTTTAATATAAATAATTTATATGGCATGACATTAACAATTTTTTGTTGTTGAAATAAACTACAAACTAATGCAGGAGCTCCCCCCCTCCCCCCCACTGTCTGACAACACCTCCCGTCTGGTCGAAGTGAGAATGGTGCTTCGCCCGTTTCTGAACAGTAGCCACTGAACTCTTCTTCCGTATTTACAAAAGAAAGCTGCCACTTAAAAAAATGACATGAAAGAAAAAAAAAATGATTGGCAAAGTTTTTCCCTGCAATTTAACCTGGCAGTGATGAGACCAATACTGAACAAACAATGACAGAAACTTAAATTAAAAGATAAATCCTAAGAACAAAAAGAAAGAAAGAGTGTGGCACATGTGAGGTTTGTATGAATAAGCAGAGGGAGACATTAGAAAGTGAGTTGGAGAAGGCGGAAGCATTATAATTAAAGAATGAACCTATTTACACAATGCAATAATTGCACTGGGTCGCAACAGCATGAACGCATTACAACCCTGAAAGCAGCCAGCAAAGAAAAAAAAAATAGGCAGAAAACAAATAAAATCACTCCCTTTGCATTGGATTTTTATAATTCCCTTTCGAAATAAAACGAGGAGGCGAGCAACATGTTTGTCTCAAAGTGACAAATGTGAACTTCGACCGCTGTGGAGCTTACAAAAACTGCAGTAGAAAAAACAAGTATAATCTTATCATAGCTCCTTCAAGTAGTTTAAAACTGCGGAAACTGAGGACATTGCCAGACTCAACATTAAAAATGATACATGAATTAGAAGTGACCCTGCCAGCGTGTGTAGACAGAATGATCACATTAAAAAATGTTCCCATACATGGACACATGATGTGATAACTGACAATCATCAATCTACTCTGTGACTGGACAAAACAAATGACATTCACACGAAAGCGGGAACATAATACTGAGCTGGACGTTGCGATATAACAAGGACAGGGAGATTTTACTAAAGGCACGGTGGTTACTGCTGCTTAGGAAACAGTGTAATTCTCTGCTTTTATTACACTGCAATAAGAATATCTATATTTAAAATACAAGAGAGTGTGTCAGACGCAGTGAGGGAGAGGGAGACAAGGGGGGGATACTGCATTTTTTAAGGCAAATCACTTACAATTATTGTGTAGCAGCAAAAAAAACCAAACATCACAATACAAATAGAAATAAAACACTGACCATGTATGTTCAATAGCCTAATATCTTAATAACATCTCACTCTCTGTGGACACTTTTTACATATAGCACATTTCTTATTCTATACACTATGGAGGGAGGGGGGAAATCAACTGCCCCCCCCAACCCCCCCAAAAATAATCTTTTACATCTGATCTTTTACACAAGAGTATACCCAAGTTATACAGTACTCCTTTAAATAGCTCTTTTTTAGTATTAAAATATATACTCATAGATTTATATAATTCTTAAAACAAGTCATTTGTTTCTTAATATGTCCTTGAAATAAATCTTTTTTTGTTGTTGTTTGAAGTCTATGTACAGTTGAGAGTTGGAGACGCAGTGTGGCGCCACGTGGGGGTCAAGGTGCTCCGGGGAGGCAGCCAGAGGCTTGAAGAAGCAGAAGGCACAGTGTGTATGAGAGTCTAGCAATCTTTGGCTGCCTGGATCCTCAACCCACCTGCGGCAGACAAACACAGGAGAGAGAAAAGAGTTAGAGAAAAGAAGGCTCCCGTCAAAAGGCTTCATGTAGCCTATTTCTTAGGATCACAAGTCGGGATGAGCTGAGGTTGACTCACCTTGTGTCTTGCAAAGCTTTGTCTGTGTTTCTTCCAAGTCCTGGATCTCTATAGAGTTTCTCTTATATGAAGAAAAGTTTGTTTTGTCACCACAAGTCCTTTTAGCAGCCTCGAAACAGTCTGTCTCGCTGTCAGTGTCAAAACCTTCATGCATGTAGCCTTGATACGCTGCCCCCGGCAAGTTCGGATGCACAGCCACCGTCACAGAGGCTGTGGCTGTAACCATAGTGACGGGACCCCCAGTCGAGCCTTGTTGTGACGGCAGGATGGAGGTGCTATTGTTATAGCTTGGCCCTTTAGTTCTGTTTGGCTGAGGCCCTCTGCCGTTCTGAGGCCTGGGCCCACTTTGACAAGTCCTCCCAGGGAAGTAAGCTCTGTCGCTGGGTAAATGTTGGCCAGGCTGAGCCTGGAGCCTCTGAGGGCCCGGCTGCTGCTCCCGCTTGTTTCTGTCCCAGCACGTAACCTGGGAGCTGAGAGGTGACTGTGCATTGTATGAAGATTCGTTTAATGGTTCTATCCTCCCACCAGCACCTGTTGCATTTTCTTTAAACGGCTTCACCACCTGCAAAAAAATTTTTCATCATTTACTCTGAGAAAAACACATTAATATATAGATCACTTTATCACACGGGGGGTTTCCTATCTTATCTGCGTGGTTGTGCAGCATACCGTGAGCTTGGGGAAGCTGGGGTTCTTGCTGGCTTCCAGTAGAATGTGAGACGTAGGAGGCACAACGTTGGCATGCGATTCTATGTATGCGCTCTGGTCACAGTACTTATAATCCTCCTCCCCTATCCCTGACGTGGTGGTCATCTCAGAGTAATACTCGGAGTCCGACGACTCCGAAAACGCTTGCTGGCGGGATGACCGCGGGTTGTGGTGACCTGTGTAGTACCCGTGGTGGGCCATGGGTGGCGGGAGCGGGGGCTCAGGGGAGGGTGTGGGTAACCGGCTGGCGTTGTCGACTGGAGTCACTTCAGCTGGTGGCCCCATCATGGAAAGGAGGACAGGCAGGAGAACTAGGCCGTTCAGCATGCCCAACACTGTCAGGATGACCAACACGGCAAAGAAGTACCTGAAACAGAGAGAGATGAGGGACGTTAGAGCCGATGTCAGATTAAACTAGATGGTAGCATCTTATAAAATCTCATTTCAAGAAGGTGAGGTACAGTAAGATAGCTTTGAGCTACTAGCAGTTGCTAATTCTGAAGCAGGCAATAGGCTAATGCATTCCAAAGGGCATATGCATGTGCACCATGCCACCATCCATATATTCTTATTTCTAATCTTATCTTTTATGGATTGTCAGGAACATGTATGACACTTTGACACAAAGTGGGAAACATTTGATATTTGACATATCTTTAATTTGTGCATTGTTGTGCAATTTGTCTTTTAATGTTTCACATATACAAGAACACAAATGTGTGCTCTATTCCAAACACAGACATAGTTGGCACATGAGGAAGGGAAGTAGCTCAGGGGAAGAAGTCAGGGAAAGCCCAGTATTTGTGTATCAAAGGCAGGAGGGGGGGTTCAAATCTGATTCCCTGCTCAGTCCAACTAAAACATGCTTTGATGCCTCTACTGCTGCTACAAGACATTCTCTCACTCTCTTTTTCACTCACACTCTATGCATACAAGTTTTTTTGTGTCTGTGTGTCTGTGTGTCTGTGTGTGTGTGCGTGCATCTCAGCGGAGCTCTGAGGAGGCCAGTGGTGGAGGCAGGCCACAAGAAAGAGCTCCCCAAGAAAATTAGAGAGGACTCCACTTAAAGACTAACAGAAAGCAGAGAAAGAGAGAGACACAGAGATGCTAACCACCAGCCAGACTTAAAGAGGTAAAAAGAAAGAGGGAGGGGAAAAAAAGTGATTGATGGAATGAAAAGGGAAAAAAAGAAGGAAACAAGGACGGGGATAATAGCTGCAGAGTGTTCTGGAAACACGCTTCTCTCCTCTGAATGGACTACTAGTATAGTTTTAACTTAGACGCTCTGTAGAAAAAAGTTGATGGCTTGCATGTTGGGCGTGATTTCACAAACCATATTCACACCAACCACTCTCTTTGACATGTTTTCCCTTTTCCTCATTAACTGCTGTTCATTTTTTCCCCCTTCCTTCATCAGAACCACGGGCATATCCTCCAGTTTTGACAAAACACTTCAGGGAGACATTTTTAAATTTCTTTCTGTCTGCCCGCCTTTAAACCACAAACAGATACTGAATTGATGCACGTAATCAAATGAAAGCATGTTCTCGAGCACTGAAATCACGACCAGGTCATCTTTCTCCGAGTCCTTATAAATACACTTCATCGTCTTTAAAAAAAAAACGAGAGCAGAGTGAGACAGAAAGATGGAGAGTGAGACTTTGGTGGGACCTCCAACAGCGTCTCACTGTTAGGAATTCTGTTGTTTATATAAACAGTAATCTTTTCCATTCGTTTTCAGGGCCTGGGGAGTTGTGTGTGTGTGAAAGAGAGCATAAGTGTGTGTGCATTTTTCCTTGTGTGTGTGGGTGTGTGTGCGCATATGTGGCCCGCATGTGTGTGCATGCATGCTACAGAGTGTGTGTGTGAGAGCGGACTCTGAGCAGAGCTGAATTAGGCTTGCTGTTTATTCAGTGCATTACAAGGCCAGGAGATGTTTACAGCAGTATATTTATGCTACTCCCTAGCTAGCCAGCTCTGGCTTGCCCCATTCAACCGTTCACAGCTACAGCTACAACTAAACAAGACCTCCAACAGAGATACTAGACCCTTCTGTCTCCCCCTCACCCCATCCTCTGAAAATGACCTTTTGTATGGAAGAAAAGCAGAAAAACAAGCAGCGGAAAATGCTCCATATGACTCCCTTAATTCTAATCCATCTTCCAATCAGTTCTCAATTTTTATCTTTTCAATCCACCACTGTGGAGGATCCATTCATCTAACATCCAGCTACCCACCCACCAGGACCTCATATCCTTGCAAAGAAAGCCACCCTCAGAGTACTTCTCCTCCTCTCACTGCCTCTAGTCTCTGTTTCTGCAGAGAAATTGTGCTTTTTATGTCACGGAAGCCTGCTGCAGTCTGTGAGCTCAAGGTTGTGGTTTCGGTTTTGGGCCGAGACCACGTTCGGCTGAAAAACATCGAGCTATTCGTCTTTTTTCCACTCTGACCATGAAACAGTGGTAGAAAACACACACCCACACACATATACATATACACACATTTTAAACTTGCACGCCCGCGTGCACACACGCATAGTGGGGAGCGAAGTCTGTTGGTGGCCTACACACAACTGACTGGCTGACCAGTTCAAATTTAGCTCCACATTTTATTATGGCACCTAACACATGGAGGGAGAGAATGCCAAACGGATGATAGGAATTTTTACAGATTCCCTTGTGTGTGTTTGAGGGAGTGAATCAGGGAGAATGAGAGAGAGAGAGACACCACCCAGTGGGTAGCAGAACACTTCCATGTTTACGAGCAGCTGCTACACACCCTTGATGTTTTCCCCATTTGTTGTGCTCCGAGGCTGGGGAGATGGTAGTGTGTGTGCCCAGAGTGACAGAACCAGGTGCATATTTTGTGTGTGTGTGTCTGTGTGTGTGTGTGCGCGCGCGCATAAATAGGGGTATAACATTTCCACCTGCAAGCACCCCTGACCCCCCACAAGGCTTCTTCCCGTCTCCAAGACAGGCTAGACAACTGGCTCCACACACACACAGGTGTGCACACACACTCGAAGTGTAAAACTAAAACACTGCTTCTTGTTAAGCTAACATATGGGACTGAGGGGGGTGTAGACACCACTGCTGCCAAAGTGAGCACTGTCACTTTCACACACACAGCACAAAGTCTGCACATGTCAAATGCACACATACACACAGAGCTACATGTACGCATAAACATACATAAACACAAAGCATCTCACCTCATGATGAAGTCAAACTCTGACCCTGCCAGCATGAGAACGCCGAGCAGCGTAGAGATAGCTCCATCGACCACCGGGGCAAACATGTGCTCCAGAGCCACCTCCGAGCGCTTGTTTCTGTTGCCAATTGCTGTCAGGAAGCCCTGGGGCGGAGAAAGAGGGGGGGATGAGTTGGAAATCTTGCCGATTACACAAAAGTTGTGCTTGTGACGAAGCTTGGCACACTTCAGAATTCCTGCCTTCGGTTTTGTTGGGGATTGCTACACTACACTACAAGACTACACTGTTCTCAAGAGCTGCCAGCTTGAACCAGGAAGCCAAAAGTTTCCTAGTAAATCTTTAATCACACTTATTTCACCTTAATCACTTTCCATTTCAGGCATGAAGCTATAGGAGTCTGTGCTTTGCACTTTAAAATTACTCATATGTTTGCGCAAATTTGCGTTTATGAAATTGTTATGCTAAATCCCAGCATAGAGAGAAATAACATTCAATCAATAATTAAATAATAATATCACAAGTTAAATGTTATTCTTCCCTGCTGTATGCAAATCCATACAGATTAAGATGAATTCTATTGTGATCACATGTTAGTGCACAGTAGCTATATTAAAGTCAAACCAGAAACTTCAGGTTTCAAGTAAAGTGGGTCCTTCTAATTGTTAATCCATGCGTATGTGCTTATTCACCAGTGCAATGTGAACAGTGAACTCCACTCCAATGCCCACAGAGGCGATCAGGATGACCACAGGGATGGCGCTGAGCTTGATGCCAATCAGACCCATGATGCCGAACAGCTCCACCGTCATCATGGCCAAGATAAACACCTGAGAAGAAGAGACGGAAAGGAAGTGAGGCAATGTCCAAGACTTGAGATACTGTGATGGGCAATGAGGAAACAAGCAAGTAAGTGATAAAACCTAAATAAAAGCATGTACAGTTTGTCTTTTGCAGATTTTTCCCCACACAATATTTGACCATGTGCTCAGGAGCTCAACCACATGGCCTTAAATTACCCACCTTTGGGCAACTATCTGTTTTTCATATGATAGCAGTCTGCAAAGCTTATTTTATTGTTTCCGACATTTTAATGCCACATCAGTATTTCAGTTTGTCTTAGCAGTAAATGGGTGATGTTACTGTAAACCACGATACAAACAAGTCCTCAAAACCAAGGAGGAAAAACAGTTCCCGGCCAACAGGAGCTTTGATCCCAGCGGGGCTATGAGCCGGGGCACGGTTAAATTGGAAATGATAAAAGCCGTTTTACTGCTCGACCACATACGGGCTGGGTGAAACCTTTACTGGCAGGCTGATGCTTGGTAACCATACATGCGTGTCGCTGTGTCTTGAGGAGACTGGGTAGAGTTGCTGTCTCAATCAGTGCCGCTGAGGGACCGCTACTTAAATTAAACACATTCCAACTGAAACGGGCACTGTTGTTGTGCTACACTACGACACCCCCACTGGCCAGGGATATGTGGATTTGTGTATGTGTGCGAGTCTGGGGGGCCCTTTAGGATCACCAGTCCCACCAGCCTGTGTGTGAAATGCTTTCCAAACACTGCACACTCAGATCATCGCTCTCTTTTTTTCACACACACACATGCACAAATCCACATATCCCTGATGGATGGGTTGAGCAGGCCAAGGTCGCAACTGGGAAGATCTGTCCTGTCCCCAAGCCTCTCCCTCTCCCTCTGACAAAAGCTGTGAGGGAGTTGGAAGTGGAGGCTTCAGGAGGGCAAAGCCTTTCTTGCTCCTTTGCATTTCCTTTTCTAAGGCCGGCCCAACTTACATTAGAATGACAAAGGTCCCTGTGTGTGTGTGCGTGCGTAGTGGCCCTCCACAGAGAAAAAGGGGCCCCCTAGACAGCATTATTGAGCTGTGCTGAGAAGGGTGAGAAGAAAGTGAGAGGAAGAGGAGCGGGAGGAAGGGGGTAATGATGTTGTTGACGTAGGATGAGAGGGACAAGGTGAGA